TTTCTCCATTTTGGTCAGGCTGGTCTCAAACTCCAGACCTCAGGTGATCTGTCTACCTCGGCCTCCTAAAATGCTGGGATTACAGGCGTGAGCCACTGTGACTGGCCAATGCAGTTATTTTTAAAAAGCCTAAGCTGATTCCAAAGGGAACTTTAAAGCTGGGATAGCCCTCTCAATTTGGCCCAGATTATGAAGGGAGGGGCCCGGGCATATATTCCCATAATGATCAGTCATTAGACACAGGCTATCCTGGGGAGGGGATGTGTCCTAGAATGAGGTAGCTCTCTCCAGATCAGGAAATTCTTGGAGAGGCTGACAACTGAGGGCTGTCTGCTGACAGCACTCCTTGCAAATGCTGAGGAAATCAGTCCTTCATTCTTGAAGGAGGTCTGGTTGGCACATTCCAGGATCTATTACAGTCCAATCTTTGCATTACCTAGAGCCACTTCTTCTTGCTGCTTCTTCTTCGTTTTATTTTTTGAGATGGAGTTTCACTCTTGATGCTCAGGCTGAGCTGGAGTGCAATGGCTCTATCTCAACTCACTGCAACCTCCACCTCTCAGGTTCGAGCAATGTCTCAGCCTCCTGAGTAGCTGGGATTACAGGCACGCACCACTACGGCCAACTAATTTTGTATTTTTAGTAGAGACGGAGTTTCACCGTGTTGGTCAGGCTGGTCTGGAACTCCTGACCTCAGGTGATCCACCCACCTTGGCCTCCTAAAGTGCTGGGATTACAGGTGTGAGCCACCGTAACTGGCCTAGAGCCACTTCTTTGTATAAGTTTTAGGAACAGCTTCTCCAGAATTCTGGAGCACCTTTTCCCTGGGGAAAGCTAAGAGGATGAAGGTGAGTGGGATCATCCACAGATAGCACCGCTATAGTAGATTTCAGTGCTGCAGTTAACACTCATTGTCTCCCTGTACTACTAGCCGTCTATTTGACCCTTAAGCCTGACTAGCACCTCTGCTGGTCCTGGTGGTTTATATGTAAGTATGACCCAGACCATCAACTCCTAAGGATCTGAGTCCCTGGTCACCTATGTCTTTGTCAGGCTGTCGCTGCTACACTTGTCTGCTTACTATCAACATTGCTTAACAGAATACCAAGGTACTCAAATGGATCACCTGGTGGAAAACATGTTTTTCCTTCTCGTCCTTATTGTGTATCAGCAGCTTTGTCTCCTCCTGGTGATGGGGGCCATTTGCCTCTGCCAGAATGGTAATTCTTCTTGTCCTGGCCTTTTGGTATGAGAAACTTCAAGAACTCAGGTCACAACCTTTGTGGACATATTCCTTCTTAAGAACTTGGACTCTTAATTGTTAAAAACTCAGAGTTTTCGCCAGGCGCAGTGGCACATGCCTGTAATCCCAGCACACTGGGAGGCTGAGGCGGGTGGATCACAAGATCAAGAGACAGAGACCATCCTGGCCAATATGGTGAAATCCCATTTCTACTAAAAATACAGAAATTAGCTGGGCATAGTGGCATGCGCCTGTAGTCCCAGCTACTCAGGAGGCTGAGGCAGGAGAATCATTTGAACCCAGGAGGTTGAGGTTGCAGTGAGCCAAGATCGCACCATTGCTCTCCAACCTGGCAACAGAGCAGGACTGCGTCTCAAACAAACAAACCAAACAAACAAACAAAAACAAACAAACAAAAAAACAAACTCGGAGTTTCAAGAATGGAAAGCACAAATTCCCAAAATGAACCATTGGGAGTGAAGGAAAGTAGGTGTACTCTCACTTTTACTCCTTGATTCCTAGACCTATGTATTCTACCTACAGGGGAAATAGCACCATGTAAAGGTCATTCCTTTAGAAAGTGCACTGCATTCTGAGGGATGGCGAGCCATCTTCATAAGGCACTGTCTCTGATCTGGTGCTTTTGTCAGGACCAGTTTCTTGCTATGTGATACGAACATTGAATCTCGTGGTCATGTTCCTGTTTCTGTGCCTCCTTAAATACTAAATGAGTCCCTTTGTCTGACACAATAGTATGTGGGATCTCATATTGATGATGGAGGCTGGCTGCTACCGGTTGAATGACATATAGTTTTTTTGGTTTGATTCCATTTTTGTTTTTTTTAGTGCCTCTTATGTCATGGATGCTCTGATGGGCATCTGAATAAAGATCTTTACACTTTGTGCTCACTTCCATAAGTTCATTTACTTCCATATGTTCATAGCCCTTGTTGCCTGCCAATCTTCCAAGTGTTCACCTTTCAAGACCTTCCAAGACCCTAGTCAAGCTGTATCACAGTGCCCATGAGTCCCTGAGTGTCTATTTAACTGCAGGGCCACTTCTCTTTTCACACGAAATGACTGACCAGGTGGACTTCCTGGAATACTACCCACTGGGAGGATTTCCCTTTGCCACTACCTTTCAAGACTATCCTGAGTGGGGCTGTTGTACAACCATCATCTATATCTAGCTTGTACCAATATACCAAGTTGAGCCATTTGTGAATCAAGCTCTTATATCAACTCGTCATTATAGATCCCCATGTAGTCATGGATGTGAGCTGAGCAGTGATGTGGTGGTAAATATTTAGCAAGTAGCCTTCTGAAAAGGAGAAAAAAAGACCCAATTTGTAGTATTATCTACTTTCCTTTCTGTAAGTACTTATGGTGAATTTCAACCTACCAACATGGCATCAACAGACTTGCAAGATTCCTGAAAATTTAACAAGAAACTCTTATGAACTGGTACAAACCTGCTCCCGCATATTCTCAGAGCTGGGGAAGACGTGCTGTGTAACAGTGGTGGATGACATGAGCTACCTGCATGCTACCTGCTCACTCGGCTTGCTTGTGCCCTCTGGTTTTATTGATGTTGAATACTAGATGTTCCTCTTCCATCTAGACCCATCCTAATTTATCGCTTGGTGGGTATGAAAGAGCCTAGCTCATGAGAGGTAGTTTTGGTGTCTCCATAGTGAGGCACTTGTCTCTATTAGGGCCCAGTTGTATTCCAACATTTATTTTTTGAAAGGTGTATAATTCTCTGTTGCCATGGTATGGCTTTTATGCAGGATCTATGTTGTGATTCTTCCATAAGGGCTGGTCATAAAATCCACGTTATCTTTTCACAATACTGATATTCCTCATAGCATAGGGTCTGCTGGATCATGTAGTCCAAGAGGCCAGCTGCTTGCCCTGAAGCTTGGACTTGATGTGGAATCCTTTCCTGCCATGGGCCCCATCAAAAAATAGCACCATTGTGTTATCCAGTGTGTGAGCTGGAAGTGTACATCTGGGAATACATTGCCTATAGAATCTGAAGAGGCCTACCTAGCACACAATGTGCTTACATTCTTGTGATGGGAACTACAAGATGCAGTAATTTCTCCTTTACGTTGTAGGGGATGTCTTAGCATACCCTAGACAGCCAGACTTTTCAAAATTTACCTATGCAGTGTGCTTCTGAATCTTTAAGGTTTATTTCCGTCAAGAGTGCCTGTGAATTATCAAGGCCTTCAACCTCCTAGCCACTCTTGTTTATTTGGTCCAACTAACATGATGTCATCAGTTTCCTGGACCAGTGTGCTATTTATTCTGTAGCACCTCCAGCTGGTCCATGTCTCTTCAGATTATGTTATGACAGAGGACAGCAGAGTTAACATAGCTCTGGGACAAAGCTGTAAATGAACATTGTTGTGCATTCCAAAGAAACATGAATCATTTCTGATTCTATATTTTATAGGAATAGAGAAAGAATGGATTTGCCAAATCATTGGCCACATATCATGTACCTGACTCCATGCTTATCTGTTCCAACAAAGATAGATCTAGAACAGAAACTGTAATTGGAGATACTGTTAAAATAATAGGTCAGGTCTGTGATAATCCACTGCCATTTTCCATGATCTGTCTGAATTTTGCAGAGACCAGATGGTTAATCTAAATGGAGATATAATGGGAACCACAGACTATTTGTCTTTTAGGTCTTTAAGGAGGCAACCATTTTAATATTTTTTCCCAAGATGCTTTATCATGGTAAAATATACATAAATAATAAAATTACCATTTTAACCATTTTTAAATGTACAGTTCAGTGGCATGAAGTACATTCACATTGTTGTGTAACTGTCACCACCATCCATCTCCAGAACTTTTTCACTCTTCCCTAACTGAAAATCTGTGCCCATTAAACAACGATGCCCCATTCCCCCTTTCTCCTCAGCCCCCGGCAACTACCATTCTACTTTCCGCCTATGAATCTGACTACTTTAGGTAGTTCAAAGAAGTGAACTCATATAATATTTGTTCTTTTGTGTGTAGTTTATTTCACTTAGCATAATGTTTTCAGGATTCATGTATGTTGTAGCACAAGCTTGATCAACCTGTAGTCCGTGGCCCACATGAGGCCCAGGACAGCTTTGAATGCAACCCAATACAAATTCGTAAACTTTCTTAAAACATTATGAGATTTGTGCATGAACCTTTTATTTTTTCCAGCTCACCAGCTATTGTTAGCGTTAGTGCATTTTATGTGTGGTCCAGGGCAATTCTTCTTCTTCCAATGTGGCCCAGGAAAGCCAAAAGATTGGACACCCCTGTTGTAGTATGTGTCAGAATTTCATTCCTTTCTAAGGCTAAATAATATTCCATTTATGCCTATATGACATTTTGTTTATTCATTCATCTGCCAGTGGACACTTGGATTGTTTCCACCTTTTGGCTGCTGTAAATAATGCTGCTATAAACATTCTTGTACAAATATCTGTTTTTTGAGTCCTTGCTTTCAATTATCTTGCATATATACCCAAATATAGAATTTCTGGATCACATGGTGCTATGGTTTGAATGCCCCCTCCAAAACTCATGTTGAAATTTAGTTGCCATTGTAACAGTATTTGGAGGTGGGGCCTTTAGGAGGTGTTTAGGTCACGAGGGCATTACCCTCATGAATAAACTAATGCTGTTAGTGCTAAAGTGAGTTACTGTGGGAGTTCAGCCCCTTTTTCTTTCTGTCTCATGCCCTTGCTTCTGCCTTTAGTCTTCCAACGTGGGATGACCCTTGCCAGATGATGATGCCATGTTCTTCAGCTTTCCAGCCTCTAAAACTGTAAGTCAAATAAACTTCTGTTCTTTCTAAATTACCCAATCTGTGATATTCTGTTCTAGCAGCAGAAAATGGACTAAGACATAAGGTAATTCTATTTTTAATATTTGAGGAATCTCTATACTCTATATATTTCCACAGTGGTCAGACCAATTTACATTGTCCCCAGCAATGCACAGGTTTCCAATTTCTCCACACCCCTTACAACAGTTGTTGATTTCTTTCTTAAAAGAATAATAGGCATCCTAATGGGTGTGAAGGGGTTTCTCATTGTGGTTTTGATTTGCATTTCCCTACTGATTAGTGATGTTGAGCATCTTTTTATGTATTTATGGGCCATTTGGATATCTTCTCTGCAGAAATGTTTGTTCAAGTCCTTTGTCCATTTCCAAATCAGGTTTTTTGTTATTTTGTTGCTGAATTGTAGGGGTTCCCTATATATTCTGGATATTAATCCCCTATCAGAGCTATGATTTGTGAATATTTACTCCCATTCTATAGGTTGCCTTTTTACTCTGTTGATAATGTCTTTTGATGAAGAGACTTTCATGAAGTACAGTTTGGGAAGTTTACAGATTTTATTCCTTGAAATATTCTCTCTTCCCTTTTCTTTCTCTCTTCTCCTTCTGGAACTCCCATAATGTGTATATTGGTCCACTCGATGGTGTGGCAGGCAGACCAGGTTTCCATTAGCAACAAGAACAGTAAGTTGCCACTAACCCTTTACTAGAGTTTTGATGAATGCTGAAGTTAAACATTAAAGAACTAGAGAAACTGGCGCCTCAGTATGAGGCTGGAATGAGAAAACAAACCCATTAAGACCCTGCCTGGGTTTTCTGAGACCCTAAAGAATAATAATAGCATTCTTATACATACACCTCACACTAGGACCCACTTAAGATTAAGAAACTTTTCAAGACTCTAGAGAAAGCTTTCCAGACCTGCAACTGTAGTTAAAGATTAGATATAGATTGAATGAAGCACTTCTGTTTGTAGTTGCAATTCCACACATAGTATGGAGGAAGTTAATATTAAGATAAGTTCATGTTTAACTTGTGCACTCATCAAAATTATAGTAAAGGTTGCTAATGGAAACCTAGCTCACCACAATCCCCACTGTCAATTTTTACATGATTTCTATCATGTTAGTTAATTTCCCAAGCACTGATTTGTTAAAAGATTAGTACAAGAGTGCAAACTATGATGTGACAAACTAAGAGAAAGTGAGCAATGTATTCTCTCTGGCTACTTCCTGCTGGACAGGGTCATTGTCAGGGGCACTGGAATAGAAGATGTTTATTTGGCATCAGTAATGTTCTCAGCTTCGGGGACTCAAAGGCAGTGCTTGTTGAAACATGATCTTATGAGCTCAAAGAATGCTTTGGAACAGCATACAACAACAATATAGTCCACAATGGCCAGGCACAGTGGCTCACGCCTGTAATCCCAGTACTTTTGGAGGCCAAGGCGGGCGGATCACCAGAGCAGGAGAGCGAGACCATCCTGGCTAACATGGTGAAACCCCATCTCTACTAAAAATACAAAAAATTAGCCAGGTGTGGTGGCAGGTGCCTGTAGTCCCAGTTACTCAGGAGGCTGAGTCAGGAAAATGGTGTGAACCCAGGAGGCGGAGCTTGCAGTGAGCCGAGATCATGCCACTGTACTCCAGCCTGGGCAACAGAGCGAGACTCCATCTCAAAAACAAACAAACAAACAAACAAACAAAAATATAGTCCACAACATAGTGTTATACTTATGCCCAGGAGGAGGACACCTAAGACAACAAGAATTTTCTGCCACAGGAAGGTCCCCCATCAAACCAAGATGCTATCAGTTCATTGAGAGACAGTGCAGGACTAGAGATTGCCTTATCTGTTGGTGCATATCCTTAAAAGCTAAAACAGTGTTTCCTGAGTTATCAGGAATCGGTTTTAACTGCAGCTCAAGGAGGAACCTGTGATCATTTGAAGTTTTCTTTATAGGCCATTCTGAAATATTTTTTCTAGTTACCCCAGTCATCTGCAACCTGTTCATTGTTTAAGATCTATAAAGAAACCTAATCTTTTCATTGTATGGGGGAGACCCACCAAAACAGTGCCTTGGTGCTGGAGAGGGGTAATAGACCACAGACCCAGCATGAGTCTTGCTGTAACCTATTTGCATAGTCTTATGCCCGTTTGATATGGTTTGGCTCAGTGTCCTCACCCAAATCTCATCTCCAATTGAAATCACCATGTGTCGAGAGAGGGACCTGATGGGAGGTGATTAGATCATGGGGGTGATTTTCTCCATGCTGTTCTCATGATGGTGAGTGAGTTCTCACAAGAGCCGATGGTTTTAAAGTGTGGGAATTGCTCTCTCTCTTTCTCCTGCCACCTTGTGAAGAACACACTTGCTTCCCCTTCACCTTCCGCCATGATTGTAAGTTTCCCGAGGCCTCCCCAGTCATGCAGAACTATGAGTCAATTAAACATCTTTCCTTTATAAATTACCTAGTCTCAGGTAGTATCTTTATAGCAGTGTGAGTCCGAACTAATACACCATTGTAGGAAAAGGTTAGGAGTACAGAAAGAAACAACAAAAGATGAAGTAAGAAAAAAATACTATAAAGAAAAATCCTATCATTTTTTGAACAGAAATCTTAGGTCTTCAAGGGGTTCTGCCTCCTATTTGGCTATCTTGGGGTCCTCTGTTGTGAACGTTTCTTTTGGCAGGAACTTCTTTACCATGTGTAGTGGACCCATGGCTTGATGCCCGCCAGTTTCAGTGCTGAACTGGCGGTTAGCAGCACCAGTAGGGCCCTTTCCTTTTCTCCTGTAGCTGCCGGGTTGGGCCCGTTCCCATCTGTTCTTTAGCAGTACTTGATCACAGGACTGGAATGAGTGGTGTGGCTCTGCTGAGTTCATAATGCTGTTGTTGAAAGCAAGCTTATGCAAAACGTTAAGAATGTGTCCCAAGTGAGTAACACAATGTTTAATGGTTGACTTTTTATTACGGGGCACCCTAGTAACCCAAGATGGATTAGCAGTAAAGGGTCTCTCATATATCATTTCATAGGACTTAATCTAATCCCACATCTGGGGAGGTCATTCTTACCCAGAGCAATGCAGTGCCAAGTACCTGAATTCATTTTGGTTGAGTTTCCTGGCACGGTTTGGCAATAACTGTTTTTAGTGTTGGATTTTCCTTTCAGTCTGTCCAGAAGACTGTGGTCTCCACGCTGAGTTGCCAATTTATTCCAAATGCCTTGTTTACTTGGAACAAGTGTAGGGCTGCCATAAGGGCGATCAGTTCTGCCTTCTGTGCAGAGGTTCCTAGTGGTAAAGTCCTGGCTTCTGTGACCTCTGAAAAGGTTACCATGACATATATAGCATTTCTTTTTCTGTTGGTTACCAGGCTGCTCCCATCTATGAACAATGTCCAGTGTGCATATGGCAGGGCTGTGTCCTTTAAATTAAGGTGACTGGAAAACACCTTAGTCAATAATTTGTAAACATTTTGCATAAGTTCTTTTGGCTCTTCGGTAGAGGGAAGTAAAGTAGCTGGGTTCAAGGCTCTGGTAATCTGCAATTTTACTGTGGGTTCACCTAGGAGCGTGGCCTGGTATTTGCTCAATCTGCCCACTATCAGCCAGTAGCCTCCCTTTTGTTCTAGTAACACTGGTACTTGGTGAGGCACATAGACAGTGACAGGCTATCCCCAAAGTCAACTTTTCAGCCTCCTTTAATAGTAGGCAGGTGGCAGTGACCCCCGTTGAACAGGGGCCAGTCTTTGGCTGCATTATTCAGTTGTTTAGGAAACTGAGCCTACTGATTGCAATATTTCTCCTAATTTCTGTGTAAGGATCCTAAGTGCTAGACCCAGTCTCTCATGCATGTACAGTTGAAAGGGCTTATGAGGATTTGGGAACCCCAGGAATAGGGTAGAGGTTAACTTACATTCCAGTTGTCCAAATGGGTGCTGGTGTTTTGCTCCCAGTCAAAGGCATCATTGTTAGCTCCCTTAACAGACTGTATAGTGGCTTCATTGGTAGTTCATAGTTAGGAATCCAGATCTAACAAAACCCAGCCATGCCTAGAAATCCTCTCAGCTACCTTCTGGTAGTGGGTGCTGCAATGGAAGCAATTGCACTTTACCTTTCCACTGTTAGAGCTCTGGTTCCCTTCTGTAAGAGAAAACCTAAGTATGCCATAGTTTGTTGGCATATTTAAGCCTTTTTGCTTGAAACCTTATACCCACAGGTTGCTACGTGGTTCAGAGTTTTAATGGTATTATTCTGACATTCCCATTCAGAGAGGCTAGGTATTAGTAAATCACCCACCTATTGTAACAACACCCCATTTTCCAATTTTAAATTCTTTAAATTTCAAGCCAAGGCTTCCCCAAATATATTTGGAGAGTTTTTAAATCCCGGTAGGAGCACAGTCCAATGATACTGCAACCACGTTGCGACTTCAAAATCTGTCCATTCAAAGGCAAACAACAGTTGACCTTCTGTGTCTATGGGTATGCAAAAGAAAGCATCTTTTAAATCCAGCACTGTAAACCATTTATAATCTCCAGGAAGAGAAATGAACATAGTATGTGGGTTAGCTACAGTGGGATGTATGTCCTCTACAATATCCCAGTTAGGGTCCCTGTGGGGAATTGCCCCATCAGGATCTGTGTTGTCTGAATTTTCATCATGAAGTCATTGCGCCTCTTCCTTCGCTTTATTTAAAACCAGCTGCCGCTCATCTGCAGCGAGCATAATGTTTAGGAGAGCCTGCACATCTGCCCAGGTGGGCACTGGGTAGCAAATACAGTGGTGTTACAGGTCCAATAATGTTGGCTGGAGCTCCTTGCTGATTGACTCCTACTGAATATTATTATAGTGGGAACTGCCCTGCTCCAGACTCAGTGACTTCCTGGCCAAAATTAGTACCTTGCCTAGTCTTAGAGGGAGACAGTAGCCCTGCTGCCTTCCTGTACTCTAGGGGCAGCAGTCCCTCTCTTTCCTGAGC